ACGAACAGATTTGTATTGCATAAATTAATTAAATAAGTATAATGTACAAACTTACCTCTTAGAAATAAAATCACTTTTACGTCATTAATATATATTTTATTTGATACACCACGTCTTCACATCGGTGTCAATAACCAACTTTACCAGTAAACCTGCTTCTGCTTGTCTCCTTTACGCTTTTGCGCATAATGGAGGGAATCAATCTAATTGGTCCTTTTATCATTATACGTTTGCGCATGTTTTCGCATAAAAATTATTTGAATATGTACCAGATGGTAAGGGCCTATCCAGACAAACTTGCATAGTTACATAAATATATGCATAAAGAAATTGGCCAGGTAGCAAGGTGTCGTCTATTTGACGTCAATAGTTCGTCATTTGAAGTCGCGGACGTGTCATGTTACCAAATTAAGACGTAATAATGATGTCATTTTTTTGACCTATTAATGACGTTAGTTTTTTACCATTTTATAACGTATTTATAACGTCACATTTTTCACTAATTAGTAGCATCAGTTATTTGACTGTTTAAAAGTTCTCAGTGACCAATTACTGACGTTAATTATAATCTTTTTGATCAACTTTAACATTTTGACATACAAATGATGTACATACAATCACAAGAAGACTATAATACTTTAACACGTTATATTGCACGAGTGTCGACACAGTCAAATAACTGACATTATTGAATGAAGGGAGGGGAGAACGAAAAGACAAGGAGTAAGGAAGGGACGGCATATGTAGAATGGAGGGGGTGAAGATATTAGTGTAAGAGAGGAGAGTAATACAATTATAATGAAGGAAACAGATTAATAATGGGAAGAGAAGCATCAGGTAACCTTTCAGTGTCATTCTGATGGTTCAAGCCTGCATGTTGTCTCTTAATAAAAACCATTTCCGATATCATTCTTTTTACATAAGAAGGTTCCCCGTCCAATATCCTTACATTCTCCCAGTCAAAATCGTGAGAGGAATCAATCTTGTGTTTAGAAATAACGGAAGGGGAACCACTCTTTTTATTTATGTCGTTCCTATGTTCTTTGATTCTAGTATTGAGTTGTCTTTTTGTCTGTCCAACGTACGTTTTGTCGCAATCACGACACGAAATCATGTAAATCACTTGACAATAAGAATATTTATTCAACATGTCTTTGCCAGTCTTGATAAATTGAGTCAAATTATTAGGAATAGAGCAGGCTAATTTTAGGTCGAAGCTTCTGGCAATAGAGTTGAAATCTTTGTACAAGAAAGAAATGTACGGAATAGTAAAGAAAGTCTTAAAGTCATTGTTATCATAGTTATTTAAAATATTATTTGTAGAATTAATGTCACTTGTCTTTTGGATTAAAAACTTTAGTCTTTTTTGTATCGTCGAAAAAATGAAATTAATTGGGTAACAATTTTTTAAAAGAATATTGATAGCCAATGTAAAATTCTTCTTGTACTACTAATATTGAAAAAGGCTTGATGACAAGCCAAAACGTTTATTTAATGCTAATGTAAATAATTAATACACTATAATTTTCGCACGAACTACTTGCTGTGTGGCTCTTTATGCTCCTTTTTAAGAATTTTGATTTTGACAATCACCAGAGCCTAATATCATTATAATTTTTAAATGTATATAAATAAAAGCCATCAAAAACTAAACGGTAATTTTTTAGTTTGTTATCGAGTATATGAGTAAAGAAAAGCTTTCGCGTAGTTTTTTGAAACATTTTGAAAATCTCATACCTTTGCCATTTGGCGCGTGCTTGCGGTAGAGTGTCCAGGGGATCCTTAATGACTTTCAGTCCGCGCGTGTACATCTTGAAGTAAACTTTCCAATTGAGATTCTTTATATCGCAATCAAAGTTTTTACGATCATTGAACGTGAACTTTGCAATCATCACGCGTACTTGATCATTAGTAAATGTCCATTCTTGCTGGTAGAAATAGCTCATTACATCTATGAATGTATGTATCTTTTTGTAAAGCTGAAGCAATCTTTAATAAACAATCCATGATAAAGAAATGTTAAATAAACAATTATTAATATATAAGTTAAAAATAATTTATTTTTCCGTAATTATCCTAAATTGCTCTAAATTATTTTAAATGATTTAATTCTGTTTGATAGATTTTAAAGATTTAAACAAATTCTAATGTATAAAAATCACTCATTTTATTTTACTTGCTATAAATATTAGCATTAATGGAATTTATTTTCTCTTATAGTGTAATAAATATATGCAACTGTTCTTAACAGAAAATTACTTCGAGAATATATTGTATATGCAAAAATCCTATAGATTTTTTTATGTCAAGTCTTTGATTTGATTTGATTATTACCTTGGTTCCTTCCTCAGACAAAAAGTCGTGAAGTCAATCAACAAAGCTAGGAACAAGTGGCAGAAATATATGAAAAAAACATCTTTTTTTCATATATATAACAATACAACCCGATAACCTGTAATAACCTGTAACCTATGAAAAAATTCTTTGAAAAGGGGCTTTTTGAATTTCCCTTTAACAAAGCAAGGGGGTATTACAGCTTCAGATTAACAAAGTACAGATTTTTTCACTTCGTTAATCTGAAGCCGTAATACCACATCGCTTTGTTAAAGGGAAATTCAAAAAACCTCTTTTTAAAGAATTCTTTCATACCATTATTGGATTGTCCTTAAGCACGTAATTATAAATCGGAATGTCACTAGGCAAATCGTTGTTTAATCTGAAACAATGACGCAACGAGATAACATCACCATGTTTACAAATGTAGTAAAATTTTTTAAACTGAATTAATTATTGATAGTTATACATTAAAATAGGTGAATACAAATAGAAACGCAAAAATATATTAAACAAATATAATCTCTCAAAAAAACCGTTTCTAAACACTCTCAAAATTAATCTGTATATGAAGATACGCTATTTTTATCCATATAATAATTCAATATTTTTAAAATCGTGTATCCTGTTTACTGACACTTTTTAAAAAATTTTTATTAATTTTAACTTATGTTATAATAAAAATGTTAAACTTGTGCTAACTAATGGAAGAACGAAAAATGCCGATTGGCAACTCACCAGCCTGCTTCCTAATCACCCACATAGCAAAATTTCATCCTACGGATGTCCGTGGGATGTAATGAAAAGGATTTTCAGATATCCCTGGGATGTTTGTACAAAGCCGTAGGATATCCGTAAGATATTCGTAGGGCATCCGTGGGATATCCGAATGTCCGCTTTTCAGATATCCGTAGAACATCCAAAAATAAATCCTTGAGATATCCCTGGAATATCCTACATATGATTAAATTAAATCCCAACAATGTCTCGTGGATATCTTTTTTATCCAGATAAAATCCAAATAAATTATTGAATATAGGATGGTGTTCATAATCCGATCTTATATTCGAAATTATTTTAAAACCTCATTCAGTCAACAAAATGGTTGCGCAACATTATTTTATTAGTTGAATGAAATCATAAGACGATTTTAAATATAAAATCAGACTATAAATACCACCCAGATAAATATCTATTTTAAATATTTATTTAAAATGTCTTTAAAAAATATATTTTTTAAAAAGATTTAAACAGAAATTGTTTAGTTTTAAGTTAAGGAAGCAATAAAACAGTAATCTTAATAAGTAACGTCTCTCTCTTTCTCTCTCGAAAAGTTTTATATTAATTATTATTTATATTTTAAAAAATTACGACAATCTTGCTTTAATGACACCACTATCAACATATTGTTTCATTACTACTTTTTATTACTCTTTTAAAACTAAACAATTTTTGAAACATTTTTTCAAAATACATATTTTTTTCAAATATTTTATATAGATATTTGACATGTAAGTATCTTTATGAGCATAAGGAAAGATTATTAGCAAAATTTCTAAAAATAAAAGACTTCTATTATATTACATTATTTTAAGAAATAGACACATTTAAAAAAAGGTAAAGTAACGTATAAGTAATATAAATAATAGTACATTTAAAGCACATTTTATTATAAAATATGTAATTTTTAAAAAATTTTTTATTTACTATATAATGTAAAAATAGTCACAATAAAAATAAAATTTGTATATATAAAAACGAAAGCTAAAGATACGTCTTGTACATTTTAAAATTGCACTAGTCACTGTTAAATATAAATTAATAAACTTAATATTACTAAAAATTATAACTAAATATGAATAATATTACATACATAATATTGTATACATAAAATCGCTAATATTATGTATGAATTATATACATGAACAAAATATAAAGAAAAGTATTAAATATTTAATTGTGCAGCATACAGTTTTTTTATTTTTTCATTTGCATGACGAAGCCATGATTTAATTGGTTCCGAAATTTCGTGCTCGGTAGCTTGCGGGTATTTTAATTGAA